AGGGATCTTTTGCAAAATAACATATTAAATGCAATGCAATGAGTCTGTCAATAATTTTGATTTAATTAAAAAATCCTACTTTAAGTAAAACAGAAATCAATTTATTAAGAGAAAAACCTATAGAAGGTGATTTAATCTCAATATCATCCACAGTAAATTTATGTCCAGGTTCTTACAACACTTCATCTTTCTTGGCAGAGCTTTTATTATCACAATTTGGGATATTTAATAAGAAAAGTGATAAAACATAAACAAAAAGAAACTAAACAAAATTGGCTAAATTACATACTCAAAACACATTTTAAAAAAAAATTAAATTTAAAATTTCAGCATCCTTATTTTGTTATGCGCATATGTAATCATGTCAACATAAACTTCACTTTAGTCTGATGAAGTCCTATAATAATTCTGAAAATAAAACAAATTGGTTTAAAAATTGGAAAAAATTCTTGTCAACATGTTTCATCTTCTGACTTTTTTAAGGCAAGCAATGGATGCAAAATATTTTGTAGCCACAGTTACATCAAATCCAAAATTTAAAAAAAGAGATGCTCCTGCATAAACCTATTTATGGATATTGGTATTGGTAACTTCCTTTTAATTAAGAGCTTGTTTTTTGTTTTCCATGTTGACAATATATATATATACTCCTCCTGGCTATGCATACTTCTTCTACGTGCCATGTTCATTCAGGTTATTGACAATCATGGCTCTCCATAATTTCCTGCCCTTTGTAGCTCTTAATAAATTTTGTCTTTTTGCTGTCTCTTCTAAATCCTGTTCCACTATCCATTGTTATGTAGTATAGGTGCCATTTTCCTCTGTCCCTCTTATCTGCAATATATTGTATGAGTGTCAAATCCTTCTTTTCTCACTGCGTGCCTTTGGAATTACAATTGACTCTTTCTGATGTTAAGTATATATCCTTTCTGTTTCCATTTTCTCAAAAACTTCCTCATTGCCTACATGTTTAGTTCATGGTATTTTTGTCATTCTTGTGAAGAACCACATTCTATTGTCTCATGTATTTTCTTTATCTGTGAAGAGATTGTCCAGCATTCAATGTCATATAGAAGGACTGATCAGAAATCCAAATTCAAATTTTATATATATGTTCAAATATATAAGGACGTGCTGGAAAGTAATTTGCCTAAGTCAGAATTTTTGACTGACATGAAACCTTTTCAGCACATTCTCATAAATATATATATATATATATATATATATCTGTATCTATAACTCTCAAAATGTGTGTGTCTATGTGAGGCTGAAACAAGATTGAGAACGCAAAAACGGACCTTTTCAGTGCCACCCCCACCATTCAAATTGTTACCACCCCACCATTTGAGGATGTGCCTCAGTTGCACCCAATTGTTGTTACTAATATTGATTTTCAGATGGGCTGACTTTAAACTTAAACTGCTCATTTTAATTGAACAGCAAAAATTCCCAGTAATGAACCCTGTCGAAGATGGTTATATTGCTAGTATATATATATATATATATATATATATATATATATATATATATATATATATAGTGTGTGCATGTGAGTTAGCTTAATTGAAATCTCTCACATGTTACATATGTCTGTAAACATGTGTATCTATATTTTTATATAGATCTCATTAAAAATATTGCCATTTTTCACTGCATGAAGCCAAATTTGGAATATTTTAATTTTTCTTCTCAATTAGTGAAAGGTTATTGCCTGCTTAACTGCAAAAGTAGAGGTGATGGAGGGAAGATGACCTAGCTAAAAGATCAACGATCTTCCTTAATTAAATCAGTATTTTATATAATATATATATATATATATATATATATATATATATATAACAACAAACACACATATATATATATATTTATAGATCAATAACTATATATGTTGTCATTAATATATAAATATATATATATATATATATATGTATGTATGTATGTATGTGATACTACTACATACCTCTCTAGACGACTTACACCTACCCGAACATAGCTCAAATAGGACTCATTTAAACACACAGAAAAACCTACCAAACTCCATCTAAAAACTACTATTAGAAAATAGAAGTATCATAGCCTCATCCACATGTAAAAAAAGATTAAAGATTATGGAAGCCCTAATAATAAAAAAGGAAAACCCAACATTCAATAACATTAACTACGAACACGACCATAATGTGCTGAGCCTGTTTGGAAAATAAAACATTCCTATAGCTTCAGACACATACATAAAAAGAACACACATTCAGTTGAAAATAAAAAACAAAATTTGCCCTTGATAATGGCTAAAAAATAACCAGAAACGCTTGGATATGCAGAACTTTTGGACAGGTTTTTACCTACTTTTTGTCCATAAAATAAAGCAATTGTATGAACACAAGGAAAATTAAATGAAAAGTTTAATTGCAGTACCTTGACTGAAACATGCGCACACACACACACATATACATACATACTTACATATAGTATATATATGCTTTGAACAATAAAAATATTCAAAAATTCAAATTTTCAGACACACTGGGTTGTATATTAATATTTTTGTTTTATTATTTCAATTAGATTCCTCAACTAGTCTCTCTCTCTCTCTCTCTCTCTCTCTCTCTATATATATATATATATATATATATATATATATATATATATATATATTTAAGCAACAAAAATCTTGGTAATCATTATGGATAATCCCAAGGAGGATGAAATCCTGAGAGCTCAATGTTAATTCAGAGGGAATAATTTAATTTAAAGAAAAACAGACCACTTTAAGGCTCCATTGTAATAATTTATTTCATCAGAGACTTTTATTTTTCCCTGGATCTTCAGACATCACTTTTAAAAGGTGAAACGAAAAATGAAATTAAAATTTACACTTTTGACAAGCAGTATTAAGCTTATATAAGTTGATATATATATTTATCATATGCTATATTTAATGGTAAAAGTACTCACTATCAGAGATAGAGCATATGTAAGTATAAAAGTGGGCACTGAAATCAACACCAAAGTGCAACAGTCTGTTTCATGTTTAAGCGCAATCCCCAGGCCATATCTCTTGTTCTGTTTTACTATTTATATATGTTGCTCATTTTTACATTATGTATAATCCTGATGGTTATTGGGTGGGTGATAATAGTTATATAGTTGGGCCAAAACACAACACATGATTTCAATGAGGAATAAAAAAGACAGTTACAACGTGGTGTTGACCTCAATGTATGCTTTTTATTTATATTTATTGTTGTGGAATAAAGAGAACACCTCAGTGACTCCAGGAACTCATCCAATACTATAAAGAGATCTCTGGTATGAAGTCATGAGTAGTTGTATTGGAGTCAGTCTTCATACTAAATATACAGGCGTTATCACAATAGCCTAAGCATTATGTATAGAGTATACTTTAATGAATTATGTCACACTAAGTATGGGTGTATGTTATAACAATGACCTTACAGTATGAATTGGTTGAATCCAATAGTGATTTTATTGAATAAATTTACTCTTTAGTATTTCAAGATATTTTTGTGCAATTTTGGTAAATATATCAGTTAAAATGAGATGTCGGTATTAGTTTCCTATTTTGCATAATTTAGACGACAATTTAACCATCATACCCTGTATAATTTGAAAATGCACATTCATTGTATCAGTAAATCTAAAATTCTGCATATGATGTACTGTAACATATATATATATATATATATATATATATATATATATATATATGACAGTAAATATATATGTATGCTTTTGAAAAAAATTATTTTGGTTGAGCTCTCAGGGAGGAAAAGTGAGTTTGTAAACAGTGAATGTTACTGCTGCTAATGCAAGACTCTTTGATAAAAAAAATCGAGTTCTCACAATCACTGGCATGTATATCTAAAGATAAATATGTTTAAATTCACTTTCATCCCTCCTGTGTACCGATGGCTTAGGAGTAGATTCTCTGACTGATGCCAAATCAGTCAGTTTTCGATCCCGGCTTGAGCAATCGGATGTCTAGCCAAACTGATGAGCAGTGAAACACCAAAACAGTCTGTCTGTGGATGACAATATATATATATATATATGAAAATATATAGAAAATAGGAAAGAACTGGTTAGGTAGATCTAAAGTTCCTTAGTATTTTAGTTATTATTTTTAAAAAATAGTGCTCGATACAAATGTAGAGCATAAATATAATTATTTATTTAAAAATATGATTCCAACTCATGACATAAGAGGTTTCATGTTTCAAAACAAGAGCCAAAAACTTCAATATAATTATTTGAATTAAATTGAGTTAAAAGCTCTGTTCCATCTTCAAGCGAAATTCAAAAAAATTTTGCTTGAAGATGGAACAGAGCTTTTAACTCAAACTTTTCAAATAATTATATTGAAGTTTTTGCTTGTTTTGAAACATGAAATTCTTATGGTAGAGTTGAATCATATTTTAATAAATAAATATATATATATATATATATATATATATATATATATATATATATAAGTGCTCAATGTATTTTATACTGTTAATAATATATATTTTTTCCTCACTATTTGGTACAACACTAAGCTTTATTTTTAATTCGCTACTCCATTGTCTTAGCAGTTGGTTATTAGTATTATTAAGTTTTGAGTCATTACTTGAAGATTACTGTGTGTTAACTTAAAGTTGTACCAAGTAGGGAAGAAAAAAATTATATTTATTGTTATATATATACATTTGAAAATAATTCCCAAGCACTTTCAGCTAATTCTTTAGCCATTTTCAAGTATATGTTTGGGTTCTATGCTGTTTTGCATGGAACTAATAGTAATTCTATGCTGGATACCTTCAAAACACACTCTATACATTGTGACTAGTTTCAAAACAGGTAATGTTGAGTGTCGTTCTTTATTGTAAAACTGCTTCTATGATCTTCAAGCAACTTCTACAAATCTATGTGTCATGTCCCTTCAAGACGTTGGCAATCATGGCTCTTCTGTTCATTATAGCTCTTAGTATATTTTGTCTCTCCTAAACCCTGTTCCACGAAGAAGTAAGCTGGTAAGAAAGAAAGAAGATGAAGAAATAGGCTGGTAAAATAAGAAAGAAAGAGAAATACATGATTGAGAAATAGGCTGGTAAAATAAAAAAGAAAGAGAAATACAAGATGGATAAATAGGCTGGTAAATTAAAAAAGAAAGAGAAATACAAGATGGAGAAATAGGCTGGTAAAATAAAAAAAAAAAACAAAATGGAGAAAAGGTGGAGAAAGAAAGCAAGTAAAATAAGCAAGAAAGAAGAAATACAAGATGGAGAAATAGGCTGGTAAAATAAGAAAGACAGAGAAATACAAGATGGAGAAATAGGCTGGTAAAATAAGAAAGAAAGAGAAATACAAGATGGAGAAATAGGCTGGTAAAAAATAAGAAAAAAAAGAAATACAAGATGGAGAAATAGGAAATGGTAAAATAAGAAAGAAAGAGAAATACAAGATGGAGAAATAGGCTGGTAAAATAAAAAAGAAAGAGAAATACAAGGTGGTGAAATAGGCTGGTAAAATAAGAAAGAAAGAGAAATACAAGATGGAGAAATAGGCTGGTAAAATAAAAAAAAAAGAAATACAAAGAAATACAAAATAAGCAAGAAAGAGAAATACAAGATGGAGAAATAGGCTGGTAAAATAAGAAAGAAAGATAAATACAAGATGGAGAAATAGGCTGGTAAAATAAGAAAGAAAGAGAAATACAAGGTGGAGAAATAGGCTGGTAAAATAAAAAAGAAAGAGAAATACAAGGTGGAGAAATAGGCTGGTAAATTAAGAAAGAGAGATAAATACAAGGTGGAGAAATAGGCTGGTAAAATAAGATAGAAAGAGAAATACAAGATGGAGAAATAGGCTGGTAAAATAAGCAAGAAAGAGAAATACAAGATGGAGAAATAGGCTGGTAAAATAAGAAAGAGAGATAAATACAAGGTGGAGAAATAGGCTGGTAAAATAAGAAAGAAAGAGAAATAGAAGATGGAGAAATAGGCTGGTAAAATAAGAAAGAAAGAGAAATACAAGATGGAGAAATAGGCTGGTAAAATAAGCAAGAAAGAGAAATACCAGATGGAGAAATAGGCTGGTAAAATAAGAAAGAGAGATAAATACAAGGTGGAGAAATAGGCTGGTAAAATAAGATAGAAAGAGAAATACAAGATGGAGAAATAGGCTGGTAAAATAAGAAAGAAAGAGAAATACAAGATGGAGAAATAGGCTGGTAAAATAAGATAGAAAGAGAAATACAAGGTGGAGAAATAGGCTGGTAAAATAAGAAAAAAGTGAAATACAAGATGGAGAAATAGGCTGGTAAATTAAGCAAGAAAGAGAAATACAAGATGGAGAAATAGGCTGGTAAAATAAGAAAGAAAGAGAAATACAAGATGAAGAAATAGGCTGGTAAAATAAGAAAGAAAGAGAAATACAAGATGGAGAATAGGCTGGTAAAAATAAAATATAAATAAGATGTAAAGAAATAAAAATTATTAAGACAGAAAAGAAAATGCTTCAGGCATAAACTGGAAAAATAAAAATGAAATAAGCTGGTAAAATAAAAATAAGAAGGAAAGAAAAAAAGAAAAATGATTAAAACAGAAAGAGAGAAAAAGAAAATGAAAATGACTAAGAAAGAAAGAAAGGAAACACAAGATAAATGAAAAATTATAGTAAAATACAAATAAGAAAGAAAAAAAAACATTGACAAAAAAGAAACAGGAAGGATGGATGAATGTTTCATGGAAAAGTGACAAATCTGTTTCTATTCTATGAATTAATTTTCAAGAAAGAAACTAAATGATATATTTGTTTATATTTACATTTTATGTAGAATTTTTTAAAAACAAATAGATAATAAGCAAACAATGCAAGTATTCTTTGTAAATAAAATAAAGTCTCCAGTTCTTTAGAATTTTTACTAGTTACCAAATATGTCTTATTCTGAATATAAAATCATTAAAATTTCAACAACAGGAAACAAGAGAAACAAAAAGCAACCTTTTCTTACTGTTATGGTTTGATGTGACATGTAAGTGGCTTACATAATTGTTACCATAGCAATAGAATATTTCATTATCCCAAATAGTGAAGGTCAGAATGTATGGTTAATAAATATATATTGTGACATTGTGTTTTATATTATAGAATAGAATATTTCCTACATTACTTCTTCATCTTTTCATTATTATTATTATTATTATTATTATTAATTTTTTATTGTTAATATGATTATTATTATTATGATTATATCAATACTTTTATTAAATCTTTTTTAATTGTTTTTTTGTTGAATCCAAATAAGTCCCTGGGTTTTAACCACCGCCATCATCTTTAATTCCAATTTGTAAAACAATGTCAGATATTATTAGTTTTTTCCACATTCTCTTCCTGCTTTTCTTACCATTTTTTATCCAAAAATTCTATTCTTTGATACCCATAAGCAGCCTATGTCATTTTAGCATTTATTCTTGGCATTATTTTTTTGTCCTTTGTCTTTTCTTGAAGCACTGTTTCTCTGAAGTGGCAAAGGTTAGAGGAACATAATTCTTAACCTTAACCCTCGCCCCACCCATTCACCTGTTTCTTAATCAGTCGCCCTAATCTTATAATAAACTCCTTTATCTTTATTCATGTTCTTTTTAAATCCGATAATCAATTGGCAAATATGAAAACTTCACTGTTTCATTCTCTTTTAAATTATTGCCAATCTTCTTGTCGGATTCCATCCATTGTCCTCCACCTCCCGCCCACCAGCTAGTAATCCTTGGTAATCATTGGTACTTTATAATCTGACAGACGCCAGGTTGACTTTTTTTTTCCTTTTTTGACAAACGTGGAAGATTTATCAGATATTAAATCTGATTTATCTAATTTTGAGTCTTTTTCCTGCAATGAAATGCACAAAATTTGTTCTATTCACCAAATCAACCTTCAAGAGTTCAAATGAGACACTGATGATTTTATATTTCTAATGTGACTAAAGTTTGTACCAGAATAAAATGGAATAGCAATCAGTCGACATTGAAGTCAATACCCAGCTGCGGCAGTCTGTTTCATGCTTATACACAATTGTCAGGCATATAAACATGAAATAGACTGTCAATGCTGGGTGTTGAATTGAACGTTTACTTATATTACATAACAGTTCAGTACACTTTTCTTTGTTTCTAATGAAATTTTCCTGTTTCTTAATACTTTGTTTTGCTTTTGGAAGACATCTTTCACTTTCCCAATGTATGAATGGTAAATGAAATCATACATAATCAACAAAACCAAAAAAGACCAAGAATGTATAAACACATAAACTAGGCATATTATATTACCTACAAACTTTATAACTAATGAACTTGAGAGAGATTTATCTAATGTCCGTATAAAAATGATCACAGACACTACAAAAACAGCTACAAATTTAATCAATGCGAAACAGTGAGCTACCATCAGGCATCTACCAAAGAGATGGCCAACAATTTTTAAAAAAATTTACTAATATAAAGCTGATTCAAAAATTAAACAATACACTAATTGCTTATATATATATTGATAACCTATCACCCCCATGAGTGACTGCACTATAGGTAGTAACTACCTATAAGTATCTGTAAGTCAATGGACTACAGAGTCTAGCTGGGATCTGTTGAGTACAACTCAGACGTACGCAAGAACTACCGACCTTCCAATAGTAGTACTCATTAATGTATTGACTTGTGATGACCTTATGCATAACTGTTACCTTGATTCTTATTGTACTGGTTTTACAATACACCTTTACTTATTTTATCCACCTTGTTTTTCAAGTATATATTCCTATTAGCATAGAATATAACATATATATATATATATATATATATATATATACAAGTATAAGATTGGTGTATACGAAATAAATTCCAATAACCAACAATTACTATTCTTAAAAGAGTGCTCAATACAGAGTAGAGTGAATATAACTATTCATTTAAAAATTATAACATAAATATGTTATAAAATCACTACAAGAATAGCCATTTTATTTCAACACCTCTGGTGTCTTATCAAGTGATGATGTAGAATAACAACAGCTGTTTTGTCCTATAATTGGGATTCATCAGTAGTGCACATCCACTACTGAGAATTGAAACCTGGACAGTTACATTATCAGGCAAACATCATACCAACTGTACCAACAGGCCTCAATGAATTACTTAATTATAATTATCTCAAATCCTCCTAATAATTTCTATCATTTGTATATCCTTGCTTGAACCGGCTTGTAATGCACTGGATAGAGTGGCTTATGGGGGGCATGGTCTTATGGGTAAGGGAAACTCGGATGAGTTCCACCCCGGAATATGTGATCGGGCGGTGCTATATCGCGTCTAATCCACTACCTCTCCAGTTGGTATGATGTTTGCCTGATAATGTAACTGTCTAGGTTTCAATTCTTGCTAGTGGATGCACACTGCTGATATATAGGATAAACGCTCACCCAGTGCTTTCTGTATTCCATTGAGTTTTCTTCTAGACTCATTGAATTACTTAATTATATATATATATATATATATATATATATATATATATATATATATATATATATATATATATATATATATATATATATATATATATATATATATATATATATATATATATATATATATATATATATATATATATATATATATATATATATATATATATGAACTGTTGTGATCAAAATTTTGACCTAGGTTATATCATTCTAATAAAGAAAAAGAATATAATTTAAATAATGTATAAAGAGAATATATATATATATATATATATATATATATATATATATATATATATATATATATATATATATTATATTCTGTGCTAATAGGAATATATACTTGAAAAACAAAGGTGAATATAATTTCAGACTAAGAGCAATTGAAAGTGACATGATCTATGAATCTCGTGCTTATTATACAAGTGAACTATTTCAGTTTATTGCATGTTCTAATTAAATTATGACTGAAATAGTGTATGTTTAAATGCTACTGGTAATATTAGCTGTTTCCTTATAAGGAAACATTTGGCATTCATTGATTGAGCAGATTGTATTACTGTTGGTTGAAATTTATAAAATATTTCTCTTAAAACAGTTTTTCAAGAAAATAGGTTTATCAAGTCCAGTAACTGTTATTGCTCTTTCCACTATTAATGGGGTTTTCCTTCCTAAACTTTTATAGATAAATAAAAAACTGAGTTGAAATTAGTAAAATCGTATTTAGAAAATAAAACAGTTAAAGTAGAAAATCATCTGATTAATGTAAGGCACATTTTGTCTTACTAATGTAGATTTTATCTGAAATAAAATGCATTTTTTGATTCTGCCATTGAAAGCAAGTCTGTTTAGTATTCAAGAAATATGTATAAGCATCACTAGTGCTTGTCCAGTGGTATTCCTGATGCTGGTCTTGCAAACTAATTATGAATTTGATCATGACTTAAACATGCTTCTCTTAATTCTTGAACAGTAATAATCTTTTTTTTTTTCATTGCAATTTATTTCTATAGTAAAATTAGTTGGAATATATTTCTATGGTAAAAGTTTATCTATTATACATATAAAAGCCCTTGTCTGTTAGCAATACTTGCATTAATTCCTGACCTTTAACAATCCCTTTATTTCTGATTTTCAGTAGGCAACATACAGACCAAATACTGAATTATGATTAAATAGGGATTATATCATCAAATTTCATTGAAGAGGAGTGTAACTGCTATTAGTGTGGAAAGGGGAACTATTGAGCAGAGTTCAAATTCCAGCCTTGTCTGTTGCATTTACTTTCACACTTGGGAAAGACATAATTTGTTTCTTCTTTCTTCAGGTATGGGTTAAAAAAGAGGGTAGTTTAAGTTATATAGCATTGGCTGGTAACAAGTCTAGGACAAAGTAAACTATCAATTCATAGATAATAAAGAAAAAGGAGGCAGGGGAGAGCCATGATTATGATATTAAAAAAGAATGTTACTATTTTCATTTCTGACATTATCCTAAAAACCCAAATCAAAAGAGCAAGACATTCATATGGATGTCCTTCATGGCACCAAAGCCATTCAGAAATATCTAAATTGTCAGCTGTATACAACCACTTTCTCAGATTGATGGTTAAAAATGGCTTTGATCAAATGTAGCCTGTACATCTTAGAAAGAAGTTTACTTCTCTAAAACTCATAGAATGGCACTACAGTATCACTAACAAAGAAATGTACCAAATAACAGAGACCACATCAGTTGTAGACTACCAACAGCTGCAACAACTAAAATGGATAGCATATCTAGCTAAAAAAACAAAACAATGACATAATCATAATACTGACATTCTACACTATTTGAAACAAAAGGCAAGGAAGGAAGCACCTATCAATACTGGAATGAACAATAGCAGTTAATGAACTTGATAAACCTATTTTCTTGAAGAATTGTTTCAAGATAAAAATTTTATAAGTTTCAACTGACAGGAGCACTGGCCACTCAGCCAATGAATCCTAAATGTTTCCTTATAAGAAAATGGGTAATATTACCATTATTCTATGAATGACCTTCACCATCTTGCTATAAGAAGGACCAATTACAAATGCATCTGTTTTAGGACCAAAATTTAATCTTTTATTCTAGGTATACATGTTTTATTTTTTGCAGAATAATGCAAGAAGTATTCATGTATAAAGCTGTATTTTATGCAGCTAGAGGTTATATTAATTTGTTTTTTTTTATGGCTTATCAAACTTTTGCAGGTTGTTTAAAACCAGAAAATATTTTTATATTGTATGAATTTTTGAGGGATGATAATAATTTATTGATACATCCTACTAATTAACCCATAGGCAAAGAGGTAGATTCATACCTTTCTCAAAGTTATTTGCATGTAATTGAATATAATGAACCCAATTGTAATTCATCTCTTTGATTTCCAATTCTGAGCCTTTATCTATTACACTACATGCATATCCAAGCTTACAGCCACTGATATTACCAAGTGGTCACCCATCTAGGTACTGACCAGGCTCAATGTTGCTTAACTTCAGTGATTGTAAGGGAACTAGTGTTTCAATGTGAGATGGTCCTAAGCCTTACTTGTGTAAGGCTCATGATGATATTTGACAGTATTGACAATCATTGCTTAGATCTTGACTTTTCCTGACATTTTTATGTGAATTGTGGATGAACAGGGATATAGTCTTGTTATATCAAATTGTAGTACAGTTAAGAAACTTCATTATTCCATTGAATCATCCCAATTGAAAATTGAATCCCAGATCAGTCAGTACAAAACTGTTTTTGTTTTTTTAGTTTTAAACTAATTCTTTATTTTTCCTTGCCAGTCCTGAATTTAAGAACATGTTCACAAAAATGGCTGGCACTGGCACAGAGTGTAAGACTAGTATTATGGTTCAAGTAACTAGAACTATTTTGTAATCATACAACTCTATTCACAAGAAACAAATGATGTCTAGTTAATGCCAAGAACAGTTCATCACAAACTTCTCCACATATATAAAATGTGGAAAGGCATTTTTTAAAGTATTATTTTAAGTGTGTTTTTTGTATTTATTCTTTATTTACACAGTTTGTATTTAAAAATGAAATTACTGTGTATATTATTATTTATAGGGAAAACAAAAGATTTAAAAATTAAGTTTGCAATGCATATGATAAGCTAAAGTCAGTTAGCAAATTCTGCTAATGATATCTGAAGATAACTAGAAATGGTAGTGTAACTTATGAACAAAGAAATATACCAAAAATGATTGATGTAGAACTCTCTTTAATTTCCAAAAATACAAATTATCTTTTCTTTACTCTGATGAGCACAAAAATATGTTCTAACTCAATTTTTTTCAATCCTGATTAGATGTTGCCAATATCATTATAACTGCAATCCTCTGATGCACCTTTATCTTTTGTACATGGTGGCTATGAGGCACTTTCAAGGTTAATCTGCTGATACACCTGACTTCTCTGATGCTCCGGAATGAGTGCAAAATCTATTTTACTATTTTATAGGGTGATCCCATTATGCAGGGTGTCCTAAAGTTTGGGCACATAGGCAAAAATGCCTATTTTCAAAAAATTTGATTTTCAACATTATATTGAAATGGAATATAACATCTTCAATATGATTTCCAGCATTTTTGATGCAAAGGTTGATATGCTTTGCAAGATTCACATGAACCTGAAACAATGAATCCACATTGCCATATAATTTTAGCACATTCACACTTTATGCATTCAATCAAGTGTGTTGCATCTGTAATTTTCATTGAGTACACCTTCTCCTTTAGCATACCTCAGAAAAAGAAGTCAGTTATTTCTTCTTTTGTGGAAGTAAAAAATATAGTTAATGAGATTTCCTATATGTTCAGACTTTAGAGACACCCTGTATATTGGGGTTGCTATATATCAACTTTAGGGACACCCTTTATATTGGGGTTGCCACAGATCAACTTTAGGAACACCCTGTATATTGGGGTTGCTACAGATCAACTTCTGTTAGAACAAAGGTTCCTTATTGTTATTAATTTTGATTCAGACCATCTTCTATTTTCTGGTGTATTAAACTTAATTTATTACTATCTGTATTCACATTTCTATTTCTTTAAGAAACAAAAATTAATTTATTCATTGACCGGTTCACAGATAGTCAAAATAAACTCTTAATTCTCTTACTTAGTGTTTACTTTTTGCTTATAACATCATATTAGTAGTAGAAGCAGTAGTCTTAAGTTATTTGAATTCTGAGATTAAATATTTCCACAATTTTTTAAATGAGGATCTGTCACTATATGTTGATTCATTCCATATATTGAAACTATTTTGTTATAGATTTTATAAACACAACATTTTGGCCAAGTATCTTTGGGCTATTTTTATTAACCCAACATTATATTATTAACATTATAAACCCCTGAAGATGAATAAAAGGTATTTGACTGAAACGTCATGTTCAGAATAACATATATAATAATCAAAATAAAACCAATTCAAATAAATCAATTAAGTTAAAGTATTTTGATAATTCCTCACTACAAAAATTAAATAAAATTATCCAAATTTTGAATTAAATATTGGTAGAAAATTTACATTCCAAATTCATAAAATCATAAAGTCTGGTCAATGGAACAAGTGATAAGACAGACAACCATATTGTTTTAATTTTATTGATTAAAAAAAAAATTTACAAAACAAATATGAAACAAACTTAACAAAAATTAACAACTTTAATATTTATGAGCAACAGAATACAAATATTAATTGCAAATGCTTGCATTATTATTATTATTTACTTATTTTTATTGAAAAACTACAGCATATTTCAATATAAAAGAATAACATAGTTTAGATAATAAATATATTTTATTTCTCAATAAGATTCAGTGAAAAACAATGTAATATCTACACTTTAATCATGGAAATGTTGAGGTCTTGTGATAAGAGGCATTTTGTACATTTCTAGGCATGGAATTTTTCAGACCTTAAAAATAGTGCAAACTGTTACCAATATCAGTGTATTTGCAATGCAGACTGGTTGTGCATGACATATATTGCAACTTGCATTCATACTTTCTGCATTTACATTATTTATTTTTTCAGTAAAAACAATAGATTAATAGGTCAATAGTACAATAGGCAGCCATATTGTTTTAAATTTATTGATTGAAAAAAGAAATTCCTAAAACAAATGCAAAACAAACTGAAAGGTTAACTTTCATATTTATGAACAATGGAATACAAATATTAATTGCAAATGCTTGCTTATTATTATTCAGTTATTTTTATTGGAAAATAAAGAAAATATAACACATTTAAATATAAAAGAATAATATATGGTTTTTATAATAAATATATTTTGTTATTTCTCAATAAAATTCAATGAAAAATAGTGAAATATCTATGCTTTGATCATAGAATAGCTGAGATTTTATGATAAATGTACATTTTGGATATTACAGACTGAAGTAAAAGTTACATTTCAGTTTTTATGGATTTTAATGAAAATCATAATATACTGGAATCACTAAAGTTACATGAAAGGGAAGGAAGAATATGTCAAAACCTTGGAGCAAATATATATGTTGTTCTTTGCATCAATATATACTTAGCATGCAATAAGTCAAGAAGTAAGTCAAGAAAGTACATTTATGATATAGAACTTAATTGGGATAAGTAGTAAGAAACTTTGTTATTTGCAGTTATAGATATAATTGTGAGTGAATGGTATTTATTGGTAAAACTTATCATGACAAGACTTGGATTGCATTCTTCAATAAAAAGAAAAAGTAGTCAATCAGTATTTTGAGAAGATAACACTTTCAAGGCAAGCCCTCTTTGTAATTAAAATGCTCAGGATCAGGAGATGGGACATTAATAGTGACAAATAAAATTAAAAATAAAGTGAACATTTAATTTTTATTGTTTTTATATATATATATATATATATATATATATATATATATATATATGCATGCAGGGCCAGTGCATACTACTCCTGAACCGCCAAAACTTGTTTTGGGGCCCTGTGTTGTGCATTGTGACCATTGGTATCTTATCAACATTTGCTTTATTCTACCTACATTTATATATACTTTACAAATTAAACTAAGTGCCCAACTGGTTATTAAAGGATGGAAAACTTTCATGGATTTTGATGCTATTCTGGGTTCTTTTTTTCTTGTCTATAAATTTGATTTGCTTGTGCTAAGTCTTGAAAAAACATGATATGAAATTCACTATTTTTATCCATAATGTTGAATGTGTTAAAATTATTTAACATTTTAACAAGAAAAATCTCAAGTTATTTTAAAAATTGCCGCAAAACATTATTGATTTATTTAAGATGGAATGGTCAATTATGACATGTCTCTAATTTTTATTTAGATATATTGTATTTATTTTCAATTTTTCTAGTTGAATTGTTCACCTATATTGCATATGATCCATTATTGTAGATAATTAGGTTAAAATAAAATTAGTATTTTATATGAAAATTGAGATGTAGTAGTGTGTTGGGTCCAATATCCTAGATATGTGGGGTAGTGGTTGCATCATAGATTCTATGGGGAACATGAGACCCTTGCATTAGCCTGGTTTATATCAACACCACATGGCGACAATCTTCGTGGTCTGAACATTCAAGCATGAAACAGTCTGTAGCCATTTGGTGTGGACCACATTCTCAGTGTCCACTTTTATATATATGCATCCTCCATCCCTGATAATGAGCAGCAGCACATTTATCCATAAATATAGAATACCATAAAACTATATTTTTTTATATATATATATATATATATATATATATATATATATAAAAGGCAGGATGTGTGTGTGTCCCATTGATAGTGGAAATAATCGATTTTTCATGCTTTTATGGCAGTTTTCATGTAGTGTGTGGCCATTCTCTACTGGCCAGAGTGAGAGCCTCTAGCTGGCTGCCATGAATAGGCAGGAAGATTCTATTGACCAGCGTGAGAGCCAACAGCTGACTGACACAAATGTTAACTAGCATGCTAGCATGCAAAAAAAATCAATAGCTGCATTTGTCACAAGTGGGAAAAATTTAAATCTGCATGGCACTTTACTCCAGTTGGCTCATTCGCTTGTTTAAACTCAACATTGATTCTGATTCCACAGAACTGGGTTGGGTGTGAAAAAGTATTTGTTGTTAACATTCTTTTTCATTCGGTTTTTCCAGTAATGAGTCCTTTTTTAAAGCTGATCGTTTTGTGTTCATTTTGTTTAGTTCTTTTTTCATAACAGATTTAATGTTAGTATAGAGCTTAGAAAAAATTGGCAGTGTGAGATAGGCAAGAAGTAAGGCATGTAGCAACATCAGCACGGCAAAGCGCACTCCTTTAAAAGCAAGGAAGGGCAAAAATATTTTAAGTCAAGTGATAGCGATTGCTGCATGAGTCATATGATTTTTTAATCAAGCACGGGCAACACCAGGCCATGCTGCTAGTATATGTATATTTGGTTGTAAATGTGCAGGGCATATTCTAGGAAAAACTTAAAGTGTCTGGGGCTCTCATTTCCTCCTTGTTGTACTTCTGATGAAGTTTTTAA